TGTGGCGGTGCCCCTCAACCGGTCCCGAGCTGGGGCAGAGCTGCCCCGCGGGGGGCTCAACCTCTCCGGACTGCCGGAGGCGGAGGGGAAGCCCCTCTTCGGCATCGGCATCGAGAACTTCATCACCTTGATCGTCTTCGGCTTGATCTTCACCCTGGGGGTGCTGGGAAACTCTCTGGTGATCACGGTGCTGGCGAGGAGCAAGCCAGGCAAGCGCCGCAGCACCACCAACATCTTCATCCTCAACCTGAGCATCGCTGACCTGGCCTACCTGCTCTTCTGCATCCCCTTCCAGTCCACAGTCTACGTGCTCCCCACCTGGGTGCTGGGCGCCTTCATCTGCAAGTTTATCCACTACTTCTTCACTGTCTCCATGCTGGTGAGCATCTTCACGCTCTCGGCCATGTCAGTGGATCGCTACGTGGCCATCGTGCATTCCCGACGCTCCTCGGCCTTGCGTGTTCCCCGCAATGCGCTGCTGGGCGTGGGGCTCATCTGGGCGCTCTCATTTGCCATGGCCTCACCTGTGGCTCACCACCAGCACCTCTTCCACCGCGACGCCAGCAACCAGACCTTCTGCTGGGAGCACTGGCCCAACCCACGCCACAAGAAGATCTACGTGGTTTGCACGTTTGTCTTTGGCTATTTGCTCCCGCTGCTGCTCATCTCCTTCTGCTATGCCAAGGTGGGGTAAAGCAGGTAGTGGTGAAGGGTATGTAAAAGGGATGGGGAGGGACAATGGTGATGAGTGTCCTTGAGCTGTGAGGACATTTCTAGGCATGTGGAGGGACATGGCACTGTCAGGAGGCAATGGGGCAGGAGTGAGTTTGTGGCATAAAGGGGGAGGGCAGGTTTTACAACCAAGGGATGACTGAGGGGGAACAGAGTGTGTGGCACAGAAAGGTCAGGACAGGGATTGCACAGGGTGAGGAGGGGGGTTTGTTCGGGCAGTTACTGGGGTCCCCTCTGCCAGATTTCCTTTTTGCAAAGTGCAGGAAGCCCCAGTGCTCTGCTGCTTTCTCTGTCAACAAACTCTCCTATTTTCTTGCAGTGCTGTATGAGGAGTTTAACTCAAATAAAGTACAACAAAGCAACAAGTTGTTCAGGCTTCAGATGAAGCATTGTGGTTCTTTAAAATGCAGTGCACTTAAAAATGACACAAATCCACTAGTTTGGTCTGATCCAATTAAGATGTTAAGAGTAAAAGATGCATCATGCTGCCTGGTCCCTGTGAGCCACGTTTTCCCCAGCTGACCTGAATGGGAGATTTACCTCTGAGTTCAGCAAGGGCAGGTGGTGCTAGGGAGCAGTGCATGAGGACCTGGGCAGGAAAAAGCAGTAAGTAAGGGTGCCTGAGTATTGGTACTTGAGGACTTTTCTCCTCAGGCAAACTGTCACATTTTTCTGTGAATATTAATTTCAGCCTTCAGCGCAGGGTCCACTACTTGCTGCTGGGCAGTATCTGGCGCACCAGTTACCTGCTGAGTTAGGCAGAGATCTTCCTGTTTCTGTGCCAGCAGTCTTCAGTAGCAGGATTTCTCCTTAGGCAGTAATTTGCATTTGAGAGGACAGGTCTGCTCTTTCGAATAAGGGCTGCTTAATTTTAGAGAAGTCAGTTCTTTAACTGTCAAGTTAAACATATGTAATTAATATATTCCATTTGAACAAATAATTTTATGTTCTGTTCAGTTTTATATGTATTGCATCTACTTAATTGTGGTGTGCAAATTAAGGATAGAATGGCATCCAGCTCTGCTAAAACTGAGTTGTGCAGAACTCGAAGGATAACATTTCTAAATTACTGTTTGTAATGAAACAAGTCCGACCTGGCAAATGGAAAAGAAATACATGTCTTCATACATAAACTGAATTCTGTTTTCCCTGGGTGAATACACTGGTGTTTCATCTATGGTGGATGTGACTGAGCTGTGAGAGGGATGAAACTTGCTGTGGCCGTAGATCATCAGAGTTTTATGAAAATGCTACATATTTCAGGGAGACCGTTACCAAATTTGCGCAGAGGGAGCTTTTCAGCTATTAAGAATTCTTACTTGTATTTTTCAAACAAAAGCATCTTCAGTTTCAACATAAAGTACCAGCCTTCAAAATCTAATTATATGACAGAAGATTGAAAAAAGTCTTTCAAAATTGTAACAATCCTGCATAGTAGCGGGGGGGGGGAGGAAATATGCTTAAACCAAAGATGAACATAGTAAATACAACACACCATGTTGTTAGATCTCTCAATATTAATAGGAATGTGTAGTTAAAAAAAAAACCAAAACAAAACAAAAAAAAACCCCCCAAAACCCCAGCCCAAACAACAAAAGAACTCTATGTGAAATACATGCCCAGAACAAGTTAATAAAATCAAGGCCACTCAAAGTTACAACTAAAATCTTGTGCTTAAATCATTGCCAAGGCTAGAATCTCACACTTGGTGATGTGTACGATCCTGCTTGCCATGGTGTCAGGCTGGAGGACCCAATCGGAAGGAATGAGTTCTCAGAGACACTTAGGAGATACTTAATATCAGTGTCAATGAAAAGTGTCGTGACTTGTAAAGGGCTATTCAAGGCATTTGTACCCTGCAGCATCAAGGCTCATGCCTGCCTTCGTTAGGAGCCACTGGCAAATCTCCAACTGCAATACTTTGGCACATGGGGCAGAGTAAGGAGGAATTAAGGATGAGAGGAGTTGAAAATTGTAGCTGAAGTTTTAGATATGTCAAAGCCGTTGCTATGAAGTACAACAAGTATTTTGGCTTCTGAATGCACACAGGGTTAGAGGATCACTGCTGCGTCATAGCCTCAGAAGTATTATAAAAATAAATGCATTGGTTTCTTACTGTTTTCATGAACTGTGCATCAGCTAAATAATGTAATCTTCTGATACAGTAGATTAAGACAAAGGAGACTCATTTCTCTATCTGAATATATTGCCTTTTCCAGACTCCTTTAAGGCAGTTCTGTTTCTTTTATAAGCAAATTGCCATTAAACTTTCAGTTTTGGAAGTCTCATTTTTTAGACACTATAATAGGGGGCTGAGTTCTTTCTCTCACTCTATTTTAAATTATCACTCTCGCTTAAATTATGTTAAGGGAGATTTGTGTTTTCCCCAGTGGACAGAAAGACTGTTACAACCTTCAGAAGTGCTGAAACTGTGCTAAGTATTTGGAAGTAGCATCCTCCCACAAAATCAGAACTGGAAATCTCACGTTTTGTGCTCTTAAGGCAGAGATTTATGAAATCGTGCTCTATGTTGTGTGTGTACAGCTACCCATTTCCTCTCCCCCACAAATAACTTTGGATCAGTTTCAACCAAATTTGATAGAGGAGTGAAAATATCAGAAGGAATGATATTTCCCTAGTTTTGTGAAAGCAGAAGTCAGTAAAGAAGGTGAAGTCTCCACCTTCTTTCTTCTTTATGGAGTCAATTTGCACTCAGCTGTTAAACATCAGACAAGCCATATAGGGAAGAGGTCATATGTAGCAACTACTAATGGAGGAGACACATCTTTTTGCGAACACACAGTCAAGAAATCACAAATCCACAAAAAACTTCATTGCCTCACAGAACTACTCTTGAAAGGAGCTTATTACTTTAGCCAGAGGAGCAGTGAATATATAGTTATTAGCTGAGTTACAGTGCTACAAACTTCTAGATAGCCTGTATTCTTATTTTTAATTGCTTATCAGATTACTTATCATACTTTTTTCTAACTGACTTTTTGTATGTTTTGTAACATTGCTACAACGTTGGCTCACTAGTATGTTCTTAAAGGGCAAAGTGATAAATGGTTCCCAGTGAGCTTCTAACAGTTGACATCTGCCAGGGTAGTACAATATGACAACTGATTTTGGGTGCCTCTGCTTTTGACTACCCAATTGTGAGGCTTCAGTCCTTGAAAGTCAGGCCTCCTTCAACCAAACCTTTAGACTGGACACCTGAAATCATTAGCAAAAATTTCCTTTTATAGATGTATAAAGTTAAAAGCTTTTAAATAAAAAAAAAAAAATCTTGCCTTAAGAATGTTTCCATTATTATCTATCATTCTGAACATTCTGAATTCATGGAAGATATGTATGATTTATAGACTTGGTTAAAAGTAAGCCATAAAAAGTAGGAGCCTCAGCATAAGATACAAGCTTATGTGGTTGTTGGCTAAAGATACTGTGTCTTAAATTTTGCTGGGCGGCAAGGGAAAACTATTGAACTACAATGAAAAGAAAAAATAAAGTGTATGATACATTAGTGATGCACTATTAAACAAAAGAGGGTGAAGGATCTGTTGTGACAATAGAAGTAGCAGCATTACTTTAAAAAACGGATTGCAGGCAATAGCACTCAAATTTGAATCGGGTTCATACTATAAAATGTGGTTCAGAATGTAGTGCTGACATTATGGTTCTGTTAAACAAGCAGTTCATTCTTATTAGATAACGACCTTGGGCAGGCTTTCCTGCTGCATGATTTTCAGTGGCTGACAATGAAGGTGTAGTCAGTGAAATTATTATATACAGCCAGCCACTTTGGAACAAGTGTAGGCTTCAAGCTTATATATTGTTTGGTAGACCTATATGAATAGACAGAGATAACTTAAGCTATTTTTTTCTATCTATCTCCCTTGTTGGAAAAATCCCTATTTCAACTTGATTTGGTCATAGTCCCTCAGACAGGGATCTCTGACCATCTGCAGGTGGTCCCTGAAACAACCAAAAAAAAAAAAAAAAAAAAAAAAGGAATGGCTAGTCTGTAGGCAAAATTCGGCGTCACCCAAATGCTGTCAGTAGTAGTTGTGGTAGTACAGTCCAGACCAGCTTGGACAGGACTTTCTTATAGAATGAATCGTAGGATGATTCTTATTTTTCTATGATCCTACAAGTCTCCCTACACCCTTTTTCGTAGCAGCACAACTTTCTTCCCATAGCACCGTACCCTCAAATCCAGAAAAAAAGGAAAGCTATTCCTTCCCTGAGGGCTAAATATGCTCTCTGATCAACAGGTGCTTGAAAGCTGGAGCTAGAGAAGTTTCATGTAAAGAGTTAATTTTTCCACAGAGCTGAATTTTTAAAAAATGTAGCACCTATTGGAAAAGATTGTGACCTATTTTTTAGAAAGCTGTTTCATTCTGTGAGTTAAAAATGCACATGTAAATTTATTAGTGGATCTTCTGAAAGACTTTCCTTGGAGAAATAACCTTTCCTTAGAGAAATAACCTGAGACAAAATGAGAGGCACATATAGAATTATTATTCATTCAGGTGAAGTGACAGTGGTTGTTAGAGGAACAATTGATTATTCATTGGCCCAGAGAAGAGATAATTTGAACAGAGCAGTGAGGAGAGGTGTCTTTGATTTGCCTTGTAGTGTTTGTGCATAAACTTGGCTTTTAATATCCCTCCACGGCATTGTGTATAGGTCTCTGAGTGCTGTTCCAGTGCTGTTGATAGGTAATTAAATTTTGCCTATTTCTCTTGCTGCTGGTTTGCATACCATCTGGTACACTACCACATAGAGCCAGCATGTTTTCACCACAGAGACTTGTATTATGAAATATGTATATAATCTGAAAGAGGGGAAGATGGGAAGGATTAATTTGGATCTATATCTTCAACACTCTCACCCCAAATATCCAGTTTAACATCTTTGTCTACTGCATCTTTCATTGGACTGGAGAGAGATGCAATGCAAAAATTTGTGCTAAAAGTTTCAGAACAAAAGAAAAAAAAATGTTTGTAACTTTAAAAGAAGATTTTGCAGTTCTGATTTCTGTGAAGAGTTTATCTGACTTTAGTTTTGGGCTGTGAGGGAAAATCACAGTACAGTACAGTCTCTGGGTGGCAGGTGATGGGATTTGCAAAGGTCCAGTAGAAACAGCCCATTATTGTAAGTTATGTGAAGGGGGTACAATAGGTGAAGCAGCACTGATGGGAAGTGAACTTCACTGTATTTCTCCCATGCTCTTTTTTGTTTCCACATTTTTCACCCATGCACTAAGCAATTCAGTTGTCTTGTACACAGTGCCAGCAGGTGAATAAAGAGTGTGTGAGCCAGAGGATCTTCTGCTGGACCTCAGGGGCTGTTCTGTCCTTTCCTTCTGGTCTGCTTCATCCTGGAGAAGGAAGAAGAGCTGAAGCAAAAACCAGACTTTCTCAGAGAAAACCCATTTATTTTTCTCCTGCCTTTCCTGAGCTCAGGTTAGCCTTGGTAGTGACCTGGGTAGTGTTTCAGAATAGGAAGAGCACACAGAGCAGTCTTGCATGCACAAATAAGCACAAATGAGCTGCACTTGCAATGTTAAGTGGTTACAAGTAATTTTTATTTTTATTGTTGTTTGTGGTTCACTAGTAGCTAAGAGTAGATACTTCAAAAGTGTAATCCACTGATGAGCTATGGTTATTCACAAATGCCATCTTATTTGTTTTAATTCATTATGTATCTTTCTAAGATTCAAATGCCAGAGTGGGATCAAGTCTACATGGCATCTTGTCTGGTATCTGTCCTGGTAGTGGCTACCCATGCATCCTGAAGGAAATGGAGGAAATGTCCCCAGATTATATAAGAGAATTTGAATCCTTTTAATGCTGGATGATCTTACCTATTAATTCTGGATGATCTTACCTATCAAATTGTTCTCAGTTCATCTTAGAGCTTTGTAAAATGCAACCTAACATCGTAATCTAACTGAGCTCTACACTCTGACACTCTCTAAAAAATATCTCTTACCATATTTTAATTAAACCCTTGAGTTTAATTAAGCATGTCCTTTTTAAATTCTATATAGTTTACAACTCATTAAAAACATTCAGCTGAAGAGCTTATTCCTTGCCCCCCATGCCTAAGAATCATGCTATATGAATATGTTACATTCAGTTAATAATGTAGTAGGGCATTCAGTAGGGCATGCACATCTATGCATCCACTATTTAAAATCTTATGAGTAAATCCTTATGTTAAAATTTGAACCCTACTCTTGGATGATGAGCCTTTTTGAGACATATTTTTAAAAATTACTTGTGAAAAGTCCATGACAAGTATCATCAAATTGTTAATAAATGTGATGCTTCATGTGAGATACATTTTAGTATAAATTATTTTTGAAAGCCTAGGCTTCTTTCAATTATCAGATAGTGCCAACATCCTGATTATGTTAACCAAACATCCATCTGAAGAAAGCAAATTATGCAGGTGACTCAGAAAAGCTCTGACTCAAAACATACACTTTTTATGTTACATGCAGTAAAGGTCATTCTAAATTAACAAGCATTGACTTTTTTGTGGAAGAAGAATGATTGCTAATTCTAGATGCATGATAGGTTTCCATTTGTTACCTTATTCATTTGTAATATGTATTTGCTGTGTAATACATCTGATTTTTTATATAAGGATTCAGTTATGGTCTGTTTCATGGTTGTTGATACACACATGCAAATATGTAATTCCTTTGGATTTTATACTGTGCGCTTTTGAAATGTGTAAAGTGGATCAGCGATGTTTGTAAGCAACTTATGCAGTACTGGAGAGCATACTCTGAAATATATGGGTTTGAATTTTAGAAAATGGTGAAATACAAAATGCAAATTAATCTTTTCAGGTTCTTAATCATCTGCATAAAAAGTTGAGAAACATGTCAAAGAAGTCAGAAGCGTCCAAGAAAAAGGTAGATTGCTTTCATTACCAATATCTATTTGTTTATATTTTAGCTTTATACCTACACTAATTTGGTATTATAGTGTTTGTTGCCAAAGATGTAATGGAAAGAAGAAATTTAAATGAAGTATTTACTGATGTATTCAGTGTCTCTCTTAACTTAGCAGGATTTAAATCTTTTCTGATCCAAGTTTTCCACTGCAGCGCATCAAGCCATTACCTGAGATCACCATATTTTGAACTTCAGAGCAACTGCAATTTAGACGTTGAGAGAGAGAGCCTGTTTCTAATATTAAATGGGGCTTTTTTGCCTCACAGGCATTTTTCTGTAATTTGTAAATCTGTTTATTTATTTATTTAACTAGCTGAATTTTTTATGTTTTATGAAGAATTCCTAGGTTATATGATGAGACTTTAAAATGAGGTTTATCGTGCTTCCTGTTAGGAATCTAATAAGAGACACTTAATCATTCTGCAGTTCTTCTGTTGAATTTGCACAAAATGTTTTTTACACTTGTGTGAAACACTTAAGTTATAGACTAGTTACAAGTAGAATCATGAAAGATCTTTAAAGAAGGATATAAGCTTTGTGATTTAGAACAATATTTGAAAGATGTGTTTATATATTGAATTTGTCAGTTAATATGGTTCTGATTTTTGAACAGATTTGACCACAGTAACCATTTGACTAACTTTTCAGTTTATGAATGTGGAGTCAGAAAAACCCCTTAGGCTATAGCTCTTCATTTGATCTGATCACTATTACCATATGGGCATGCAGACTCTCTGCAATGTAAATGAGATATACATGGGTTCAACAGGGAATAAGTAATCTATTATTTATGCATTCTCTATTTTTTAGAAAAATATCACAGTTAATAGATTTTAATTCCTAGAATTAAAAGCATTGTAGCCCTGGTTCTGTAAAATACTTAAAATATATACTTCTGCACTTAATGTCATCAAGGCCAAAGGTGTAGTGTTCAAAGGTGTTCTGTACATTGCCATCTCTACTCTCATCTAAATTATTCTCAAACTGGAAATATCTGTGCATTTCATCTAAACACTAACTCTTAAGAACTGCAAGTAAAAATCAGTTCTGGCTAGCTTTCATAACTTCAGAGAAAAGCATTACAGATATGCCCAAGACTGTTTGGACATATCAGGGTTCAGTAACCAAAAGGCAAAAAAAAAGGGAGCCCCAAACCTTTTTTGCCTTAGAAAATAAGTTTCTGATCCTAAGGCCTAACTTGTGTTTTTCAAAGCAACTCTGTTTTCACTAGTGTGCTATCTCTCTCTGGTTACTCTTTCTTCTTTTCCTTCTACTCCTTTGTTAAGAATGCATTTCAGGCTTAATTATACATTTCTAGCTTTATTCAAATCTTTATGCAAATTTTAATAGTAGAATCTTAAAGTTAATTTGCTATATTTATTGAAAAAAGTTAATGAAAAATATGAATAGGCCTAAATGCTATATTTCATGCTTTTTGGTCACAAAGCATCAATACTAACATCATGTATTTCAGCTGGGTTTTATTTGCTAATGTGAGACCCTAAGCAAGCTCCCATTAGGTAAACAAGAGCTGTCCCTTTACCTGCTGGAAAGGTAAGCTGTGAAGTAAGGCTTAGGAGGAATAATGGGATAAACCAGATATTGTGAGGTTTCCTAATACAAAATTACTTATTGTACAGATATAAAATACCTTAGGTAAAGTAGTTACAAGAGACACATGGTCAACCTCTGCTTTCAGGTGCATCTATATAGTCTATTGAAAATCAATGATTTTCCTGGTGTAATTTTTTTTTTTTAGAATTTTGAACCAACTGAAGTAATATGCCTCTTTTGAAGTAATTGCACATGTGGCATCCAGGCAATCCGTTTTCAGCTGGAATATTAACACATTGAAGGGATCAGAAAATGAAATGCTCTTAATTTATACTTCCTTGTTAGTACATGTTCTCCTGGTGAGACCTGAAAGAGAAAAATATTTGGTTTCTGTTGTGAGATTTTGCTAACCAACAACAGTATCTGTCATAAGTTATTTTGGCCTGTTGCCACAGAAATAAAAAGATTTTTCTCTAAGTTTCTGTAGGTTAAGTCATGTTGTAATTGAGTAGGTCGTTCTGAATTATTACCAAACATTAATCAATTCAAGAAGTATAGAGCAAGTTCAATAAACTAACAAAAAATCTCGATATTCTCTGTGCTGCAGTATTTATCATTCTGTGTCCACTGGGTTAGTTTTGCCTGTGAAGAAGAGTCTAAGTTATCTGAAAAATTATGTTGTAAATTGTTAATATAGTAATTGTGATGGTCCATAATATGATATGCCTTGGAATTAATATTAGGCTTTTATTGGGAGAGTGATTTAGTTGAAAGAGGTACTTGTTAGAGGAGTAGTTGATTAGTTGAGCAACTGCAAAGCACCAACTGCTGTTTCTGCAGTAATTGGAAGCTAAAGAAAACATTGACAGTCAAACTCCACCATGCCCTGGCAGAATACATTCAAGCATCTGAAACGCCTGTACTGACTGATACTGTAGCTGCCTGGATGGATCTAATGAACTTGGTGGCCCTTACTCTCATAAATAATAAAAGTGGTGTCAGGAAGCAGCACTGAGGATATTTTGTGTTCTGTTTTTCTGAATTCAGTGTTTGGTGGTGACCTTTAATTTCCAGATTGGTTTTGACAATGTGCAACCACCAGAAATTTCAAGCTCCTTACTTTTCTCTTTTTTTCCCCCAGTTGTATCCCAGAAGGTTGTTGCATGACTCCTTCTGTGGAAATTTTATGTTTAATTGAGAGACTTTCAAAAAAGCCCCTGCTCCTTTTGTAGACACTTGAGCAAAGTGTTCATCTGACTGCTCTAAGCTCTTCCAGTAGCTGCCTTCATGTATAATACATTTCTCTTGAAATTTTAGTCAGAAACCCCAGTGCACCATACTAAACTACAGATCATTAGATCTGGATGAGATTTCCCAAAGGCCCATGTTACTATCATTTTACATCAAGCTTATGTCCACCTCAGGAAAGGCTAGGCTTTTG